AAGCTGTTGCTGCTGTTGTAGAATCCGCTAGTCTGTGAAGCTGATGAAAATATATCGAAATTTGAAAATGTTCTTGTTCTTTGGACCTAAATGAGTTGGTAAGTTTTGCTACGAAATTAACATTTTGTACCCTTTTTATCATACCTTATTGATAGCCTTCGCGCGCGAAGGTTTATTAATAATCCAAACTTTATATTATGGTAAGACAAAGTACCTACGCACTACGCAATTCACAGAGAGTAGGAGGTACTATACATATTGCACTGCCTCTGTCTAGCTATTTTACAACGTGTAAGGTGCGATACTTTATTATACACTGTTGTAATACTGTACCAATGAAACCTTTGTTAATTAGACTTTAAATATGTAAATAGTATATTTATATCACTTTTTAACTAGGTATTTTTAAAATTTATTTGTTATTGAGTACCGCCACATAGCCGCCATTTTGTCCAATGTGAACATAACGTAGGTAGTCGTTGATATGATAATCGCAATCAACTAATATAATTTCGTATCATTAAGTATATTGATTAGATTTCAATAACGACGTATTTTGGTTATTTATATCTTTTGAACTTCACATTTTAGATTGCGAAGACAAGCAAAGAGGGATGAAGTTGATCTTATCAAAGCATATCGCCTGGCCTATGCTAGCGAAGCGAGCGCGCCTCATTTTAAAGTAAGTACAAAAAAGCTTTTTATTAAAGTCAATGTACAAGAAAGGAGTACCATTTAATTAGAGTAGATATTTACATCGTATAATATCGATTGTGGACGGCTGAAAGGCAAAATTGTATGAGCGACCACCACGGACGATATTGGTCAACAATATACAATTTTAGCAAAAATTGCTACGTCGACTTGATTCAACTCGACTCTACTCAAATTCGATTAAAACTAATTCAAATTTTATTGAACTGGTAATTTTATGGCACTTGGTTCCTAATATTTCTACTTCCCATACTCACCATTTGGATCTGAAACTACTATGAAGACTTGACGCTTAAATGTTGCATAGTTTAAGCGCCATGTTTTCAGATCTTAAGGTAGTTACGCAATTCGTAATATTTTTTATCGTTGCTACATTATACTTCAATGACCCATAGACATTTTGCTTTACTTACACAAAAATGCATATGATGTCGCTTAATAAAGACTGCATTTAAAACAACTAAATCATGTTTCTTATGCTATTTTGCTTCCAACTGAAACTTTCAGAACATTAAAATGTTACAGGCAAAACATATGACCTATCCAATTAGGCAAGATAACCAAAATACCAATAGCATCTTTCTTTCAAGTTCTTGTACTTGTATGATATAACAATGAATCTGTATGCATAAGTTTTGGTTCTTAAGCTCTTGCACAATGGCCTTTTTCCAAAAAACAGCTATTTTAACAAAATTTACCCTGTTGCTTATACATAGTAACTGAACTGGTGCTGATTAAATATTCACTTTGTATCTACATTAGTTTTTGGAAATATAAATTTTCTTTTTTATCTCAGGATTGACAACAGAAATTAAAAAAAAATTATTGGCATTTACATGTCAAAATTACTTAATTACTTCATTTTAACAATATTTTAGTCAACTTCAAAAGCAGAGGAGGGGTTTATCATCTCATTGAATGTTTTTTGTATATTATTACTTAATATTTTCATTAATTTTGAACCGAATGTGATATATATTTTTATTTTAAATAGTTTTTTTATGTCATTATTGAATATTTATCATCATATAATCCAGTCTTGGTTGTACTCAATATTTACTTTTTTATAAATGGAAAGAGATAGGTTGGAGTCTCGTTATTGATGGGTGTCGATTCATAATATGGCAGACTAGTCTTTGCAACTTGTTCTTTTGATTGATATATTTTTTTTTTAAATAGGTTATACTTCAGTGGTGCTCCTATATAAATTTGAAGAATACATTCCATTAATTAGGGTGTCAGAATAGGGGATGAAATTATATTGTAATGACAAGACGACATTGAGATTGTGATGTTGTGACCGTGTAGTAGTACTGCAAGAAAATCCACTATGCCCTATAGTCCCATGTGTAAAAGGCGACATAATACACAGGAGATACGCTGCAGTGTCTTCCTAATAACAGCTAAATAAAAATAAACTGGTTGCCAACCCACTTGTCAAACACGGCCACTATGGAAAATATCTCCCTTATGAGGCAATTTACGGAGGAGGCCTATGTTCAGTAGTGGACTTAGATAGCTGTAATAAATGAATTAAACGAGTTTGTGATACTTCTTAAATTACTTAAAAGATAAAAAAAATACTTTTATCTATACATATGGACTTCAAATACTACATAGGATAAAATAATTTATAATATAATTAATTTAATTGTACCACTACTGCTTCCCTGTGGTGCTATTAAGGCACCAGAATGTCTTTTTATTCCTTGTAATTGTTTATAGTCTGTTCTTATTTTTTATTAATAGTTGTTTTCTTAAATTTATATTTGTATGCTTCCCTGTAAATTTATAAAAATGTGTCTTTTAGCGGTGTGTCGTTATGTCTTTTCTAAATAACGTAACATTATCGTTATGGTACAATGGATAACGTTATCATATCTATCTATGTTCATAACTGTCTATTTTCCATGTAACCGCAACTTAACAATGTACCGTCATAGAACAGTTATCATCAAAATTATTTTCGTTCACTAAATAAATAATAACTTAGTTGCTGAAATTAATTTTCCTTCGTACTTTTGATCTTTTGACATCTTTCTAGCAATTAAGGCATCCATTTTTCCTTATTTGTGTTGAGACTGCGGTACAGTACAGCTGATCGCATCACGGAGGTTGGATTACACATCGAAGCCTGGCTCAACAAGTTGTCTTTTAAGTTAGTGCTGACGCAAGGACACCCAAAGTGTTCACAGGTCTCGAAGTTCTAGCAAGCGTTTGCTGTTCTAACGAAACTTGTGTGTACGCTTCCATAACTGTCTATACGTTATAATGCTCATAGCTAGTGTCTTTAATAATTTTGCCTTTCACCCATCTTCATAATATTTGTAATCAAAAAATTTTTCTATGTTGTTGGAGCTCTCACTATTTTAGGGAAGTTAAAAAAAGTTTCAATTAGTCAAATTTCAATGAAAGTTGACTTAAAATACAGATAAGAAATTATATTTTCTCTTATCATTTAGTGTTTGCTGTGTTAATTAAATGCCTGTGTTGAGCTTAGCTTTTGCATGGTGGTTGATGTATTAAGCTTTACTCTACAAGACAGCTATTAAAACATTGACATGAACTATGTTGCTGGCAACTGGTAACTGAAACTGCTGAATGAATGATGTTGCCTTACCTTAAAATAAAGTTCAATGTTTCATTCAAAGTTTACTGTAGTATTTTTACATTATTATATTTTAATCCTTTATTAATTAAGAATTTTACTTATCAGAAATAAAAACTGTTTTTGGTACATTGGTGCAAATAATAATCCATTCTTTTAACCTCCAGTCATCCAGTTTTATCCAAGAAAGTAGCAAAATTATACAAAATCTTGGAATTTAATTCAGTTGAGTGTCATATGTTAGAATTTGTTCAATAAATAGATTAGGTTATTTTAATTACTTTACATGCAAATAGTCATTGATTTATATGTTACACTAGATTCGTAACTGCCGCGCCAAAGCGTTGCCACTTCACATATGGCCACAGCATTTTATCACTTTTCTACACTGAAATAGCGGTGTGCGACTCGAGTTATTTGACTCGAGTAACTCGAATCAAACCTTAAACGAGTCTACTCGAGTTCAGTTTTAAGCAACTCGAATCAACTCGGTCGTCCGAACGCAAACCGGACGTTATAGTTATATGCTTCCTCTACACTACTCGCGAAGTAACTTCGACGAAGTGCTCGTCGAAGTCGATCGCAGTTCGAAGAACGTGTCTACACACTCGTGCTACTTTGTGAAGAGCTCAGTCGTCTTGAGTCTCCCGCACCGTTAACATGAATGACGTTCAAGAGGCAGCTGCTTTATGTACCTAATTGTGTGAACAGTACGACGTCAATGTGTTAACTAAATAAACAATTATGTAGAAAGCTATATATTTAATATTTATATATATAAAAAAATATTTATAACTGGCGTAAGGCGAGTAGTGTAGTGAGACGCTTCGTGTAACTTCGATGTACTTCGCGAAGCCTTTGACTCTGGCGCAAAAAACCGACAGCGATCGGAAGTCGGCCGAGGTGAAGCGAGGTTGGACGAAGTGTATCGAAGTACCTCTCTACACTATTCGCCTCGTCCAACTTCGATCTACTTCGCGAGTAGTGTAGAGGAGGCAATACGCGGTGTTCCGAGTTAAGCTAGGGTCCCATGGCCTGCCAGGCGACAGGCCGCGCCAGGCGTTGTCCCGCCTGTATGGGCCTGTCGCGGCCCGTACTGAGCATTCCCACGGCCTGTGCCGGCCTGGTGCGGCCTGTCGACTGACATTTCAACTTGTGAAGTGATGCGGAGCGCAAGTCTGCGTGTGCAGCTGCTGTGGTTTTATTCACTGGTGAACGTTTGATAAACCAAGTAAAAAGAAAGCAGAAAAACCGACGCTGGTGGGTGTCATCATTCAACAAAAGACGTTCTTGTTTTTATGTTGAGGCGACGAACTATTCCAAAGCGCTGGTCCATTTTCATAGAGTTAAGAACTCGATTATGAGCTCGTTCGTCCATTCCATCACGAGTAGGGATGCAACGATATATCGGAAAACCGATAAATATCGATATATCGACACCTAAAAATATCGATAGTTATCGATTTCGATGATATAGCGATATCGATAATTCAATATCGTAAAAAACGCGATATATCGAACAGGACATATCGAAACAAAATATTGAAAACCAGCACAAATTAAAATATTCACAAAACCGGGTAAAATGCTATTACTGACATGGCAACACTGACTGTGTTACAAAGTGATTCTGTTCTCTAATCTATGGTAAGTGTGTAAGTCTGTGGCTGTGGTAGACTTGAGTAGGCTGAGCTGAGCTGTCATTGATTGTTATTTTTGCATTTATTTACTGCTAATTTAAATATGAAAAGAAGTAAATTGTGGTCTTATTTCAAAAAAGAAGGAGACGGTAATGTTATTTGCACTATTTGTAACAAACGAGTTAAAACTTCTGGAAATACAAGCAATCTAGCATCACATATGAAACACAAACATCCAGAAGATTGTGATGTGGACGATAAATCCTTGGATAAATCACAACGGTATGTCGCTAGTTTCTCAGTTAATAAACACAAAATACTATGAATATACAATTTAATATAATTTAGGTTACATTTGATGGAAATATTTAAAACAAATTTTTAAGTTATCATTCGTTTTATCTATAGTATTATGTGGACTATCGACGATTGAATATATCAATATCGGTATAAGCGGATACATAACGCGAATATATAAACGCATATATTCTTTTTTTTGACAAAATATACCTAAGCATGCAAATGGTTGTATAAGACAAAAACAATTATATATTTAGTCTAGCAAAATAAAAATAAGTATCGTTGTTTTTTTTTCTTTTTCAGTAAGTTGACTGAATGTGGTGGTACTTCTTCTAGTTTGTCTAGAAGTGCTGGAGTCAGCGTTAATCTTCAAACATCGGACGAAAGTGCTAAACCCCCTGAAACGTCAGTTGATACTGTTGAAGCTTCTTGTTCGTCTGCTGTGGTTGTGTTCCCTACAACTAAGCCCGCTACTCCTAATACGTCTGCAAACACTCCAAAAATAAAACAGGCTTTTGAAAATGTGTATCAATATTCTAAAGGTGGTGCAAAATACGACCGGATAACAGATGCTATTGCGTATTTTATTGCAGTTGATAACAGGCCGTTTTATGCGGTTGAAGGAAAAGGTTTTCGACATTTGATTAAGGAACTAGCCCCTTTGTATAAAGTGCCTTGTCGGGAAACGATTAAAGCAAAGATTGATAAAAAGTATGACACATTATCAAAATTTGTGGCGCATAAATTGAAAAATGTGGATTACTTTAGTTTGACTACAGACATTTGGACAGAGACATTGACTAACACTGGTTATCTGGGACTTACTGTTCATTTTTTGCAACAGAATGAATTACAATCTGTGACTATTGGAGTTTTCGAATTAGAAGAAAGTCATACTGGCGAGTACATTGGACAACAATTGACAGGAATATTAAGAAGTTGGAATATAGATACTGAAAAAGTTATGGCTTTCGTTACAGATTCTGGTGCAAATATGGTTAAAGCAATAAGAGAGACGTTTGGGGCACACAAACACATCCCATGTTTTGCTCACATGATAAATAGAGTTGCTGAAGAGGCCATAAGAAAAACTTCCGGACTGAGTGATATAATAGAGCATGTTAGGAATATAGTAAAATACGTAAAAAAGAGACAAGACATGACATTGGAATTAAAAAGAAAGCAAATAGAAAGTAAAATACCCGATGAAAAAGCTCTTAAAGTGATACTTGATGTAAAAACGAGATGGAATTCCATGTACTATATGCTTGAACGATTTTTGGATTTGGCGCCATATATAAGTGACATAATTTTTTGTAAAATAGATGCACCTACAATGTTGACAGCAGTTCAGCTCAACACTATAAAAGATGTTGCTTATGTTATGCGTCCACTGGAAGCTATGACAAGAGAGGCTTCTGCCGAACGTTACGTCACCATTTCTAAAATTGTACCCATGGTGAGTTGTGCAATTGACCAATACAAGGAATTGGGGGTGACTTCGACTATTGCTGACGAATTGAAGAGAAATATAACGCTGGAGATAGAAAAGCGTTTCGGCCATCTTGAATACAATATGTTGTTAGCCGTTTCTACATTGCTAGACCCGCGTTTCAAGAACTTGCATTTTAAAAAACCGGAAGCTTGTGCGAAAGCAATGTCTCGAATTAGAAAATTCATTTCTGAATATAAATCTGCCGTAACGGCTTCGTCAACTTCTTCAGAAGATGAAGAAAAAGTTGAATTTGATTTTTGGAAGTACCACAAATCTTTGGCTCACACGCAAATAAAAAGAAAAAAAACTGACGGTGACGATGAACTCACGTTATATCTCTCTGCCCCTGTAAATACTTTAAAAGTAAATGTTCTTGAAACATGGCAAGAGATGCAGGGTGTATATCCGAATCTTTTTAAAGTGGCAATGTGTCATCTACCGATTGTAGCAACAAGTGTTCCATCAGAACGTCTTTTTTCGAAGGCAGGAGCTACTATAACCCAGAGCCGAAACCGGCTACATGGAAGCAGACTTTCTAAGTTATTATTTTTAAGTTCAATAGCTGGTACAAAATACTGGAATTAATTTTTTTTTTTACATTATATATTAAAATAATACATTTTTTATTTCCAAATTTTCATTTTATTAACCTTAAAAAAAAGGAAAATATCGATATATCGGCTTCGGCGTACTTGACCGATATATCGATATATAAATATCAACTTCATTCAATATATATCGATATCAATATATCGATATTTTTAAAAACTTTGCATCGCTAATCACGAGCATGTACGCGCAAGCGCCACCGCAGTTAAAATGAACGATTGCAACCGACGCAGACGCGCCCGTACAGGCCGCGACAGGCGCCGTCGCGCCGCGCCGCGCCGCGCCTTTGATCTTACCGACTCCCGATGGATCGGACGAGCGCCAACAGGCCACCACAGGCCTCATCGGATGCGATGGTTCCCACGGCCTGTTGTCCGGCCTGGCGCGGTCTGACCTGTGACAAAACAGGCCGTGGGACCCTAGCTTTACACACGCGAGTTGTTCCGAGTTACACACGCGGCTCGCGCGCGCGGTTCGTTAGGCGTTGCAACTCGCATCAACTCGAGTTGAGTGAATTATTATTTATTATGTTACGATACACACGCGCGCGCGCCGTGCGTAAGGTGTTGCATCGTAAGCTAGGGTCCCACGGCCTGTTTTGTCACAGGTCAGACCGCGCCAGGCCGGACAACAGGCCGTGGGAATAGGGTTGCCAGATCGGAAGGCCAAAATATCTGGACAAAATTTGAAAATGTCGGGATTTTGGGGTTGTTGTCGGGAGCAATAAATATGAAAAATAAAAACGTAATATAATTTTTTTTAAATTAATAGGCTACAAAAAAACTTGACATTGTTGACATATAACCAATTTAATTACACTTAAATGTTAGGCTGTCACATGTATTTGGCATTGGACTTTACTATAGCCCCCCAGTTTAGATCCTTAGGTAAGTATTCAGAAATTATTTAAAATTCAAACAATTTACTTGAAATAAGTTCAATTCAATTACTAACGATTTCTCTCTTTGGTATATAAAGTATATAGCAAACTAAACACTCCTTTACACTATGCATTGTTTATAGGAATTGGCAACACAAATGATATGTTATTTTTCAAGTTTTAGGTCATTTTGGTTGCATTTAAAAAATGCCAAATTTTGTCACTTTACATGTCCTTGTTTTTTGGAAGATGTTCAAGTGTTTCAAAGTCAATATCGTTTGAAATATTAAGTACGTCAGGTAATACGGATAACTCTTCCAACGTATATAAAGGGGAATGCCAGATCGTGCCACACCTTGTACAAAAAAGGTAAAAATATATAGCAAACTAAACACTCCTTTACACTATGCATTGTTTATAGGAATCGGCAACACAAATGATATGTTATTTTTCAAGTTTTAGGTCATTTTGGTTGCATTTAAAAAATGCCAAATTTTGTCACTTTACATGTCCTTGTTTTTTGGAAGATGTTCAAGTGTTTCAAAGTCAATATCGTTTGAAATATTAAGTACGTCAGGTAATACGGATAACTCTTCCAACGTATATAAAGGGGAATGCCAGATCGTGCCACACCTTGTACAAAAAAGGTAAAAATATATAGCAAACTAAACACTCCTTTACACTATGCATTGTTTATAGGAATCGGCAACACAAATGATATGTTATTTTTCAAGTTTTAGGTCATTTTGGTTGCATTTAAAAAATGCCAAATTTTGTCACTTTACATGTCCTTGTTTTTTGGAAGATGTTCAAGTGTTTCAAAGTCAATATCGTTTGAAATATTAAGTACGTCAGGTAATACGGATAACTCTTCCAACGTATATAAAGGGGAATGCCAGATCGTGCCACACCTTGTACAAAAAAGGTAAAAATATGAAAAATAATCTTATGAATTTTGAAGTTTTTTGTGATAAATAGTTATTTTGTACAACTTGCGGTAAAATATTATTTTAAAAAAAGGAATTCAACTATTAATATTTACACTTCCAGTCTTTTCTAATAACATCTGCGTTTCTTTGTACGAATCAGGGTTGGCTGATTTAAATCAGACTGATTTAAATCGCCTGATTTTGATTAAAAAAATCATTGATTTAAATCAACATGCATAAATTAATGTAATAGGCAGAAAATGGAATAAAACTGGCTTAAAATAAGGTAAAATCTTTTGTTGTTTTATGTTATTCTTATTATTCTACTACAATAGTCTCATAAACTTTGGAAAATAAACAAAGACGTAGCGACGAGATCTGTCAGTTTTAAAATCAAATTTTTTATTTTTTAGAAATTCACTCTTAATATGTATATGAACTGTAATTAATACTGTATGTAAATAATAAAGTATTAATTATTTTACTCTTTATCAGTTTCATACATATCTATACAAATAAATAAAATTGAAGTGTCTGTTTGTAATGTCAAAATTACGGCTTTTTACTAAATATATATGAAAGCATATACGATACGTATAACAAAAATACATTTTTTTTTAAATTTTTGTCTGTCTGTCTGTCTGTTTGTTCCGGCTAATCTTTGAAACGGCTGTACCGATTTTGACGGGACTTTCACTGACAGATAGCTGATGTCATAAGGAGTAACCTAGGCTACTTTTATTTTAGAAAAAGGATTAGGGTTCCGTGCAAAAAAAACTAAAACCCCAAATAACACGCAGGCGTAGTCGCGAGGAACCAGGGCTCGGAAACCGGTTAAAATTCCAAACCGGTTTCGGTCATTGACCCCAAAACCGGTTTTTGCGGAATACCGGTTTTTCACAAATTTAGGTTAAGGTAGTAAGAATTAACCGGTTAAAACCAAGTTTTGTAATGTCCCCCCGCTCCCCCCTCTCGCTTGCCCCACTTGTACCCAACTTTGTACGGCTGCCCTGTGTTTAATTCACGAGGTTTTTAGACACAGGTACAATATATTCATTGCATCAACGCGACTGCCTTGTAACGTACTCCCTCATATTTTTCCATCTTTCAGCAACGTTCGTATTATAAATAACAGATGTAAGTTCTGTTTCAATTAATTATGCGTTATCTTCACTTTAAAATTAAGTTTCGATATCAAGTTTAATTTAACCTTATATATTTAAATTGACTTTAATTATATTTAACGTTTTCTATTAAAATTACGCTTTTCATCTTTAATTCAATGTCATTAGTTTTAGTAATAAATAAAATAAAATAAAAAGCCTTTTATTTCTTGCAAAAGTAACAAACTAAATAAACTAAGCTTAGGATTAAGATAAATATTTAATCTGCAAGAACCCTTCCGCAGGTGAAGGACTCCTCCAAGAGTTATTTTTTGGAATTCTCCTAATTTTAGCATGCTTCGTTCTAGGCTTCGTTGACACGTGGTAATTGTTTTCTTTATTTTTTCTGTGTATTTCCAAGGCCGACAAGCATAAGTTAGGCACGGTAAAGTTTTAGTAATATATCGCAATAAATGATGAATTTTCTTAACAGAACACGATATTTTTAAAAGTTTATGAAATGATATGTTATAGTATTTGTTCTTTTTAAGACTAAAGTGAGGCAGATTACCAGAATTTTTTAAATTCAGAAGCTCGTGATTAGGACAAACCTCTATTTCCGTCTTTGCAAAAATCAATAATGACCACTTCTTAGGTGTACAGTTTAACTAGAAGTCATGTCTAAACATGATAAAAAATTGTTTGTTATGTTTAGTGAATTCTAACAAAAGAAATTACCATTTTTCACATCTCATTAATGAGGAATTGGAGCAAATCTTATCATGTTGGATACGTACAAAATGCTACTAAAAATATTAGTTTTCCTAAATAGAGCGCAAAGTAACCACATAGATAAAATTAAATTTACTGATACTGAAATAAATAAAGAAAAATAATTTGAATCTAACAAATCATTATGATTAAATTCGGCCACACTTTGCTGTCGACTGTAACCAAATACATACACTAAAAATCCTGTGTTTTATTTGAAGTAGTTATTAATAATTCCCAATTAACTAGATCATCAGTACAAATCACACTGATATCTGCGATCTTGTATTGAATTATAGAAGAGAATTATTAAAAGTGCAGCCAAGTTTTTTGACGCATCAAGATCAAAATACAAACTTTCATACTTGACGAATATGAAACTATTCAAATAAATAAAAATTAAGTGTCTGTTCGTAACGTCAACATAACAGGTTTTTACTAAATACATATTATGAGTCATTTAATATTTAAAAAAAAAATAATGTCTTTTTGTTCCCGCAAATCTCTGAAATGGCTGCACCGATTTTGACGGGCCTTTCACTGGTCCAATTGCCGACTGCCTCGTTGGTCTAGTTGTTACTAGCGCGACTGTGGATCATGATTTGGTCCTGGGTTTGAATCCCGGGTCCCGGATATAATGAATGTTCTAGAAACCCCTTGATAGTCGTATTACAGCCCTCAATCAAGCACTTAAGATTTTTGGGTTTCCTCGTCGTACGTTTTCTTATAGAAAAGGGGGCAAACGAGCATGCGGGCCACCTGATGGTAAGTGACTACTGCCGCCCATGAACAACCGCAACATCAGGGGAATTGCAGGTGCGTTGCGGGCCTTTAAGAAAGGAGTAAGCTCTTTTCTTGAAGGTTCCTAAGTCGTATCGGTCCAAAAAAATCCCCGATGGTAAACAATTCCACAGTGAAGTTGTACGAGGAAGAAAACTCCTAGTAAAACACACAGTGGTAGCCCGTCAAGCATCCAGATGGTGAGGATGATATCGTGAATTTTGACGCGATGTGGGTTCATGAAATATAGCGGCTAAGATTAAACCGAATCTCAGAGCACTCCCCGAGGTAGATGCGATAGAAAATGCAAAGGGATGCAACATCCCTACGCAGTGCCAGTCAATCAAGCCGATCAGAAAGAATTCGGACGTCGACGACTCAAACCGCTCTGCGCTGGATGCGGTCAAGTGGAAGGAGCTGACACCGGTGTGCCCCAGCCCAGAGATGGGGGCCGAATTTGCGCTTTGTAAAGTTGCAAGCGATGTGCCGACATGAAATACAGCCCCGCTCTGCTGAGCACGCCAAGCTTTTTAGAGGCCTTCCCTTCCAAGTGACCACA